AAATCAAGAATTGGTCACTCAACAAACTGAGCCCCCCCAAGGCACCTCCCACCTTTTTTTAAGTAGGCTCCACACCCAGCATGGTGTTCATGAGGTCATGAGTTCAAGCCCTGAGCTGAGATCAAGAGTCAGATGCTTAACCGACTGAGCCACCCAGGCCCCCCTCCTCCTTTTTAGAAAGAAAAGAAATTGGTGGATGCTAAGGCAAAATCAAATATTTTTCTTTTGAGATGTCACTCTTGACTTCCAGACTTAATTTTTTCCAATTTTTCTGATTTATCAGCAGAAAAAAAAAAATGACCTACCAAAAGGGCTTTAATGCTAATGATTTCTACCAATTTTACATAAATGTATGTAGTGTGCCAATTGCTCCATACTAATCTGTGGTGAGCTATACGCAATGGCATTTGATATTAATCCTGCTAGACATTAATACAAAAAGTCAAAACATTGATTTATAAACAACCTTTCCATGTGCTATCGATTTCTTATGTGTTACTTTAGCTTCAGAAACTCCTTACTATGGATCCAACCAAGAGAATTACCTCGGAGCAAGCTCTACAGGATCCCTATTTTCAGGAGGACCCCTTGCCAACGTTAGAGTATGTATGCTACATTTTCCGTGTCCTTTGCTCCGGGTTGAGGATGTCAGATGGTGACTAAAGTAAGAGAAGCACTTGTTCCTATAGGGTTACTGAAGTTTTCCCTTAATCCTACCTTGGAGAAGAACTCCTGGAGAGAAAGGGACTATATTCTGAAACAGGCAGTGCTCTAGAGAGGCGTGAGTGAAAACAGGTGTTTTAGGAATGACCATCATTCAGTGTTACAGGGAAAACTACAACTGAGAACAGGTGGGATGTTTATAGTCAGGCAGATGAGTTTAACCCAAATCAGTAGGGAACTGCGAATTTAAAAGTCTGCGCATCCACCGTGCTACCAAAACCCCTGCATTTCCCATCCTTGTTATACTCATATGCTTGTATTTATTAGAGATGTGGCTTTTCTCAAAGAAAAAAAAAAGTATTTTCATTGTTGAGGCAATCACAAATTCAGTTATTTTTTAGTACTAATTAAGTTTGTGTGGAGAAACCTCTACATCATATACGTCAACTAATGGCAGTTAAGATTTATTATTGAAAGTGGTAATTAGTATAAGACTTAGACAACAAATTCTTGTTTTGTTTTGTTTTGTTTTTAAGTTTTAGAGAGAGAGCGCACAAGTAGGGGAGAGGGGCAGAGGCAGAGAGAGACAGAGAGAGAGAGAGAGAGAGGAAGAATGTTAAGCAGGCTCCATGGTCAGTGTGGAGCCAGACTCAGGGCTCTATCCCGAGACACTGGGATCAGGACCCGAGCTGAAATCAAGAGTCTGACGTTCAACCGACTGCGCCACTCAGATACCCCCCAAAATTCTTTTTTTATTTGCTTAAATTAAGTTGTCTTGGGAGACATTCAGCAAACAGTAGCTATTGATGAAGAGTAGGCAATATGTTAAGGAAAAAAAAGTGGAATTTTAAATTAACAAGGTCAACGATACTGTGGATTTTAGGTCCTGATATGTATTCTTTTTTTAAAAAAATGATTTTTTAGTGTCTTTGCTGGCTGCCAGATTCCATACCCCAAACGAGAATTCCTTAATGAAGATGAACCTGAAGAGAAAGGTGACAAGGTATAAGCTACGCGGTACACTTCTATTTCCAGGGAGCAAGGGAGGCAAAAAGACAATTTAGGGAAGTACAATTTAATGATTCCTATGTATTTGGCTGCCTTCTATTTTAATTATGTGCTTACTTTATTGTAGATGTACTTTGCAATTTGAAATATCATGAGTTTACAGATGAATGAACTTCTGATTTGTTTTACAGCCTATTTTATTCCCCGATCCTTAATGGTTGTGTTTTGTTTGTTCAGTGTCATCACCATGGCTTGATTCAGGCTTCCTTCAAAGCACGATTCTGTTCTTTGCTCCTAATTGGCTAGATCAGGCCCTCCCCATATCCCTCCACTCTTCCAAAATCATGATCGAGAAGACTATTAACAGCAGTTTTATTTATTTATTTGTTAAGGTTTATTCATTTATTTTGGGGGAGAGCGCCCAAGTAAGCAGGGGAGGGGCAGAGAGAGGGAGACAGAGAAATCCCAAACTGGCTCGGCCTACTTACGCTCACTGCGCAGAGCGGGAGGCAGGGTTTGATCTCACGAACCCTGAGATCATGATCTGAGCCAAAACCAAGAGTGGGAGGCCTAACACGAAGCCACCCAGGCACCCACAGCTGTTTTAATGAATGCAGAACTCTCTCCTGTGTGCCCTGTGTGCTCTCCAGTGGGATGTTTGTGGCTGATATGGAGGACCACTGTACAATGTAAATGAACTTTACAGAATGAATCCCGTTCAGGACTCAGTGCTCTGACCTTTGGGGATGCTGTATTCCCGCCTCCCCGCCCCCCCCCCCCCCCCCCCCCCCCCCCCCCCACGGTCTGCTTCCTTCTCTGGTCTTGGCAGTCACTTTGGTGTCCCCCGTAGGTCGCTCCCCAGGTTGGTGGGCCGTCGCGGGTGCCCATCAAGTAAACGACAGCAGTGGCCTGTTGATTTAGTACCATACCAAGTTTGCCTTTTTTCTTTTTCTTACAAGAACCAGCAGCAGCAGCAGAACCAACATCAGCAGCCCGCAGCTCCCCCGCAGCAGGCAGCAGCGCCCCCGCAGGCGCCCCCGCCGCAGCAGAACAGCACCCAGACCAACGGGACCGCGGGCGGGGCCGGGGCGGGCGCTGGGGGTGCGGGAGCCGGGCTGCAGCACAGTCAGGACTCGGGCCTCAATCAGGTGCCTCCGAACAAGAAGCCCCGCCTCGCGCCCTCGGGCGCCAACTCCGGCGGGCCCGTTATGCCGGCAGATTATCAGGTACTGCCCCGAATTTGTTCTTGTTCACGCTCAAACAAGAAATGGGAAGTGGATTTTGTAATAGATCCTCTTAGCATTAAGTAGTACTTAACTCCAGAGTTTCACTGTGCAAATGGTACAATCCTGTTTCTAGGACGTGACATGCAAATGAGGGTTTGGGTCGTATTTCATGTAACTGGAGAACATTTCATTTCTTGACTTGCTTCTCCTGACATCCTGAGGAGAGAGGGTGAGACAGGCCTCTTCCTCCTCAAAGAAAATTTCTCATTTTCCCCTTCCAGCTGTCAGTCAGGTTGGGGTCAGAAAAAGAGAACTAGACAAGCAATTGGAAGAGAGACAACGGTAAGAGGAAGATTTATTTTAGACAACAGGAAGAGAAAGATTTGCTGCCACTGAGAGGAAATAGGAAGTAGCGTAAACACAGAAAGGGATTAAGATTTCGACTTCTCAGAAATCAGTGTTAAATCTCACTAGAAGCATTTTTGAAAGTAGAAGATACTTTTTATTATTAAGATAAAAAAAAAAAACTACAGCTGTCTAAATGTGGTATCTCTCTTGATGGGATGGGGGCCGCCAGATGTGG